AAAGTATGTGAAATAATTGCCCTTTGTTGCGTTTTTAGGGATGAAACTTAGTAACTACTTTTAACTGGGCAGATGACCCTACTCATCATTGAGATAATCTACCTAAGTCTTGTTCGGGGGGTATAAGTAGCGTTATACGCCCAGTTATAAGTAGGTACAACATCCCATGAACCTTCAAGTAAAACATCCCACCGTGGGACGATGTATTGTTTGGGTGGGTTGGGGCAAATGGGGTTCTAGAGACTGTTATAATGGGTCATATACAATAAACCCTAAACCCTAAACAAACTACTCTAGGGATCCCCTCCTCGATTACTTACAAACAAGCTCTGAAGCCTGTCATGCAGGCCTACTTCCCAAAATGGCGTTAAAATTCATTGGGACTCTGAGGGCCAAATTCAAAAGCTTCAATAGCCGCCCTTCCCCAAAAAATACATGTTCTCCCGGCATGCGGTGGTTCCACTTGGAGCCATCTATCTCACGGAGCAAGATTTTTTTTGTTCTGCAACTTTGATGCAGGTGGTTGGTGCTGCCTCTCTGCGGTGAACATAGCAGTTCTGTTTGAATTCCCAAGCGCTTGGGAAAGGCGTTTTTAATGATATGCTGGGTGCGGCTTCTACCTAAACTTTCCAATCATGTGGACGTTTGCAGGTCTTTTGGGTATCCCGACACCCCCCTCATGTGCCCAAGACTTTCGAGTCCCCATTATAAGAACTCCGAGGCGGTAAACCTCTCATGTTCGAAAACCTCCCATAATCTCCCATAGCTAAAGAACAGCAAGCGCCAATGTCAGACAAAAGCTCCCGAAACGTTGACACAGGCATTCTTATTCATGACGCCTACACTATGATCATGCTGGTCCCTATGGAAAATGAAGATAGCTGTGTTTTTTCAGAACTTCCACTTACGGCTGACCCAGCCCGTCCAGCCCTGGCCGGACACTGCGCGACTTGAAATCCACAGGGCTCCGGTCCCCTGTGACAAGTAAAGAATCACGCTCGACCGAGTGCTTCAAAGAAGCTGGGCTTTTGTCATGACTGCTAGTTAGGGCTACACAAAAGACTCTCTTCAGAAGCACTAGTCAACACCCGAAAAAAGAACTATACAAAGTCCTCCACGGTACTCATAGACTACTCTCTCTTGAATGTAAGTATCTATGGCTATGACATGTAATGACATATAAGGCTATAGAGGGACATTTCGGGGCATATGGGTGTATGTAAATCTAAGAACCCTATAAATCTAACCCCAATATACCCCCCCTCCCCCCAATATAACCCCAATAGAACCCTAATATAACCACAACTTTAACCCTAAACCCTAAACCCTAAAACCCTAAACCCTAAATCCTAAACCCTAAACCCTAAACCCTAAAACCCTAAACCCTAAACCCCAATAGAGCGCGGAGGATGAGTAGTATCTCAGCCAGTACCTCGGGCGCTGGCTGTCATGGTTCGCACGGCCACGGCCAGCACCCGCAATGCCTTTCCATGGGTTGGAACTATGGGGGTAATGTAGGGTTATAGTGTTTAGGGTTTAGGATTTAGGGTTTAGGGTTTGGGGGGTTATAAAGGGGCTAATTAGGGGTAATATAAGGAATAAGGGAGTACATATGAATATGATATAGGGATTGTATATACTGGTGGCTAGTGGGCAATGAAGGTCTGGAATATGGGGAGCTTTCATTGGATTTCCTACAGTCCCCAACATAGATATCCACTGCTCCATCAATGTCCTTACTGACCACCAGCAAGGGCACCAAGGGTTTAGTTTTGAGGTATGGCTTTTTGTTTTTGGGCCCCTTAGGAACCCTAAACCCTAAACCCTAAACCCTAAAACCTAAACCCTAAACCCTAAATTGATTACGTCGAGCTTGCTCTTCCCTCGACAACTGCCTTCATCTCGGGATTATTGAAGAAAAGAGGCTACTCTCCAAAGGGCTCGCCATTGTCTAAACTCCTAGTATCCCCCTTAATATGCCCTATAGTAGTCCCCTATATAATCCCGCTTTAAGGAGTTCAGAATATAGCTCATATGTTGTAGAGACATTTGTATATGGCTCACAGCAACTCATTCCTCCAGCAATGGCCCTGATAAACCCCAATCCATCCCCCATGTCCTGCTCGTGGTTCCGGACGAGCTTAAGAGTTCGTATAGGGTTTAGGGTTTAGGGTTTAAATCTTGGGATAATTTTTTGGGGTAATATTAGGGTTATAGTAGGGTTATATTGGGATAATGGAAAATGAAATGGAAACCACTATATTATTTTCCCTAGTGGGGGCAAGAAAAGTATTCTCATTAAGCTGATTCGCTCCCTTACTCCCGCTTAGACACCCGCAGGATAGATACAAGCCATCTTTCGATGCCCTATAAGGCCTACCTAAACCCCCAAAAGTATGTAAAATCATAGCCCTAAACCCCTAATAATAGCCATAAAGGCTATCATTTTACATACTTTTGGGGTTCAGGTAAACCCACGCCTTGCTGCTGTACTCATCCACAACCTTCAGGATGTCTTGCCGGGCCTGACCAAGGGGAATGCACGGCTGTAGCAGTCTATCGGCTTTGGGGCTACAAGGTAGAGTATTGGGTTTGGGCTTTGCAGTTTTCAGCTTATCTAGCTTTAAGCGTTCTGGCCAGGTGCTTAGGCTTACCCTAGACCCTAAGCCCTAGCCCTAAACTCTGAAACCTAAACCGTGCTGATAAAGTGTTCAGCTTGCCACTGATCAGCAGGAGACTTTACACACGGCCTGCTGGAGGTTTGCCAAGCAGTCAGTACTTTCCATGCCCTAAAGGGCGTATGTGGCGTTGCGAGGAATGGTCTACCTCTTCGGAGATGTGACGGCAGGGCCAACTTGCCAACCCTCCCCAAACTAACCTGGAACCCCAAACGATAAAGACTACTGTCCCTTAAACATGGGACTATCTTGAGTTCCATGCTAGTTTGGAGGAAAGGTGTAAGATTCAGAGTTTAGATGTTTTGGTAGGCTTGGCTTTTGTTAGCCGCATCATGTGTTTGAGTACTTCTGTATGTTCAGGGCCCGGTCTTAGGGTAATAGCGTATGTGTCGACCTTACATACGGCGCAAGCTGCCTTCAGATAAGTAAGATTCCCTTTGATCTTTGTGTTTGAATGATATTGAAAATGTCTAGCCCTCGGGGGAACGGAATGCTTTCATAGCTTTGAACCAATTCCGCTCATGACCTGCTTCTTGGCACAACAATCTGTCTTAGCTGAACTCCTTTCAATCCTGGTCCCTAAACCCTAAACCTCAACCCTAAGCCCTAGAGTTTAGGGTTTTGGTACCTGCTTGAGTACAAAACCCTAAACCCCTAAACCCTAAACCCTTTTCATTCTTGGCCGGGGCCTCGGCCACCTCGGCGCTCACATAGACGTAGGCATCAAACCGCATTGCACAACATGGAGCAGTGCCATCAAAGTATGGTGAGTATGCTTGGAACTGCTTTCCAGACTGTATAGATGCCAAACCTCGAAAATCCACCCTAATCCCAAAACCATCCTGAACGCTAAACTGTAGGCATCTTGAACGCCAGAGCCTGCAATCCCTACTCCAAACCCCTAACGGCCACGTTGTAGTTCCCCAAGATACTGTAACCCTTACTATACGGACCCCCAAAAAGGTACCCCCCCAAACAAATCCTGGGAAGCCTGCATCCCCCAAATCCCCAACAACAAACAGCAGTTCTCCACGTGGCTGAACCCTTCCCAAGCCTGGTCTGTCATCCTCAGCTTGCTTTTAGGGTTTAGGGTTCAGGTAGTTAGTTAGGGCTTTAGGGACTCAATGAAAGGCTTTTAGGTTACGAAAAGGTCTGCTGGGCTTGTCTGGATTACCATTACGGTTTTCCACAACAGTGCCCCTGGAGTTTGAGGCTTACAGTTTCGGGCTTGGGGTGTAGGACTGGTTGAGTTTTGTGGTTTACGGTTTTTAAAAACGGGCTTCGAGTCCAGGGATTGCAGTTTAGGGTTTAGGGTTTAGGGTTTAGGAGCTGGGGCTCAAGCTCAAGACTTGGGGTTGGGGTGAGCCGCTCGCAACCAGCTGGCGTACCGGGCCAAGCCCATCACAACGCTGAGTCCCTATTCCCGAGGAAGACGGCAGGATCCTTTTGCCAATGCACAGACACCCATATTCCAAAAAACAGAATATAATGAATATAAATTCCAGTTTCCATTTCATTTTCCATTTTCTTTTCCATTTGATTCTCCATTATAGTAGTCTCCATTTTCTTTTCCATTATCCCAATATAACCCCAATGGGTACAGGAATCCCTCACGTGGACCCACCCTCCTAACCCTGCACCTTGGGTCCCTTTCCAACTCCTACTCATCCTACTCATCCTACTACTCCGCATCCTCCACCGCCAGCCAGGTGGCCTTCTTTGTCCGGGCATATTATGCTACATCCTAGATCCTACTAAGCTCTATAGTCTTCATATTCTGAACCATCCCTGGCGCTGAATAAGTAAACGCTGGCTCTGCTTTAGAGAGCCCACCCCAATAGGAACTGACTAACCTGGGACGGCACTTTGAAATACAGGACTCCATGACTCTGAGCTCTACACCCACGACCTAAGCCCTAAAATCCCAAACCTTAACCCTAAGCCCCTGCCAGATTGGCACCAAGCAACGTGGCCACACTGCCGTCATCGCGGAGGCGTTCCTCGCAAAGGTCAATGATGAAGTTGGGTGCGCCCTGTGCAGGGGAAGGACATCCCGGGACTTGGAGGATTAAGGTTTAGGATTTAAGGCTTATCGGGTTTAGGGTTTGGGGTTTAGGGTTTAAGGCTTAGGGCTTAGGGTTTAGGGGCTTTCAGTGGAGCATCGCCCCTAATAGGGTCCCATAGAATTTTTAGGGGGGTTCCAGGGACCCTTAGGGGCAGGGCACATATTGGGTATATAGTAGGGCTAGGGGCCCATACTAGGTGCCGATGGTTTCAACCTTAGAAGCAGTGGTCAACGGTGGGGGTTCAGGGCTCTATTCGTAAAAGAAAAGGTCTAGGATCGGGTGATTAAGGCTCATGGCGTTGGGGTTGGGTGCGTTTTTCAGATGTATGACATAAGTTCGGTAATGACCTAGGAATGATGGAAGGAGCATACGGCTTTGCAAGAAAGTGGGAGCTTCCTCATGGATTTTTTGGCAATGCGCAGACGTTTCCATTACAAGCTACCTCTCCTGGGAATGACCACTGTCTGACAACTTCCAACCTCGGGCTTCTCAAAGCGCGCCATGCCAAGATCATGACTCCTAGTAATAGTAATAGTAATATTACTAATAGTAATAGTAATAGTAACAGTAGTAAGAATAATAATAATAACTTGTTGTCTGCCCCAGTATTGGAACATACCAATGTTCAGCCAACTTGAGGTACATGTTGTCTTAATGCTCGAGGGTGTAGGTGTCAAGTTAGTTAGACAACGCGCGCATCAGCTCATTGACCGTAACTGCATGTCAAACTGTGGCAGGATCCAGTCGCTCATAGCCGCTAGTGATCCACCCACCTTCTGATGACCCCATCATGCGCTAGTGATACATGCACCCCGCGCTGTGATGTATTTGCACTTTTTGAGGAGAATTATGGTTAGAGGTCGATTTTTTCGGAGAGGCGGTCATCATGCGATCCTAAATCCAATGCGCTGAAGAACAGGGCCACGGCTGAAAACATGTCTCCAATTCTTGCGGCTCAACTGTATTGGTCCATTTAATGAGGACAGGGTTTGGCGGCATGCTATACGATTCTAGCTATACATCGATTAAAATGGATAAAGCTGCGAATTCTAAACTTTCGGAGCCTTACGGCTTTCGAGATGGCTGAGCTAGGACACCCCTTAGTCGTGTGGCTGTTACTTTGCTGAGTTTCCAAAAACATGGATTTGGATATACAGTAAATCGTATGGTTTCCTGATTATAATGGTAACTTGAGTTAAATTACTGTAAGAGCAAGCCAGTTGGTTGAGGCCTTGCAGACCAGCAAGTGCTTGGTACCTGCACGCAGTATGTCATGTGGCAGATGGGGAGTGACTCAACCTCGCCTAGCCAGAATTATCCGTAAATGAGCCTAATTAACGGGCAGCCTTGGGCGGGGAATACAGATGGAGCAGCTTGGGGGGCCTATAGTCAAGGCGACAGCAGCTGGGGGTTTCTCAAAACAGGATATCTGTTGGAACCCTACGGAGCACATGGGGAACCTAGGGGTCACATGTATGGATTCTACATAGGTACTCTTAAGAAACAAACATGTAAGGTCTTGCAGTGTGAGGGGTTGAATTCGCCTTCGGGCCCTTGTAACATGGTACCAACAGGGTCCTCATGAAGCGAAGCAGTAAGTCGTTTCAGTTCTATGCCTCGCAGCCGCTCTATCAGTTGATCCGAACCTGCATGGGCTATGAAAGGATATCAGAAATCAGCCCCGGTAGGTAAGTTAGAGTTTGACCTAGCCATATCTCAACACAGAGTTCTCCTTTGAATCTTGCCAATCCAACGTAATAAGGATCCATGCCAACCTTCGCCAGAATTCCTTCAGGGATTCGCAGTCTGTACGTGGGGGCAGCACCAACAAGCTGGCGAACTTTGGGCAGCCAACTGTCACCATGGGCAGCACTGAATTTGCCAAAAGACCTCTTCAACCTGAAGCGAATAAAGCTGAAGCTACGCTTCAAAGCTTCAAAACTTGAAAACTGGACCGCTTACTAGTCTGACATTGGTTAAGCCGTAGATGAAGTGTCTAAGGTGGGCAGTGTGGGCCCCTGATGTAAGAACTTCTGAATCAACAGCCCACACTAGGGGCCCATACCTCAAACCTGAGAACCTTTCAAACTGAAACCCGAACGCTTCATACGGCGAGAGCTGCGCACCCTGCCATGGGAGCGCCAGTGCCGCCATGAAGCTTGTTCTGAGCCTAGATATCACCAATACCCCAAAATATTGGCAATTGAGCACGCTTCTACAATGCTGCTCAAAATCGGGCCCTTTCTGATGCAACCAACATGACAAGCTGCGTTTAAGAAAACTCTAAACTCTACATGACACCATCGCCCCTTGTAGCCTCCTCATCCTAACCCTACTGAGCCAGACCCGAGGTTTTGACAAATGCCCTTGGGCCTTGGGGAAGAGGCATGCCGTTCTCGCATACGGCATGTCGGCCGCTGACGTTCGACACGGTGAGCATCATCTGAGCAGATGCTGAGGTGTTAAGTTAATGACAAGACGTTGAAAGAAAGTTGGATCTAGACTGCGCCCGGATCTGGAAAGGACTCCGGTTCATGCTTCTAGTTCACGCATACGCAAAGTCCCTTGAGACTTTCTGTCATGGAGCACCATAAGGGTGGGCACAAATGCATAGCCAACAAGTAAAACAAGCCCAAAATACTGCGATCCCGCCCTCTGCGAAAGCGGCATGATGTTTGTCATTTATCTGTTGTTGTTCTTCGCTCAGGCTCCCCCAAAAGCTTAACCTGGTGTCATCACAAATACAGGAGAAATGAACTTAAAATCTGTGGCCTTCCGCGATGAAGAGAATGGAATCTCGAGCTCGCGCGGGTACTCTTTGGCCCTGAGCGACATCAGGCTTTGGCTCGCGACATGACATGAAACCAATGTGGCACGAAGGCAGCGCATGTCTTACGTGTAAAATAGCTGATAGGGTCCCATCTGCCTATGCGCTGCAGAGCTGCTCAAGACCCTTTTCCTCTGAGCCTTTGGGGTCCTTCGCTCTCAGCCATGCTGTTGGTGTTAGAGGACTTGAATAACATGCTGCCCTCTCGTGCACAGGTCGCCTGCATGCGCAACGTCCCTCTTCTTGGCTAAATGAGATGCTTGTTTGCCCTGGCATAGTGATCTATTGCATGCAGGACTGTTAAATTGACAAGAGCAAAGGGTGAAGATCATTGTTGGTGAGAATGCTGGCATGATCCATTCAGGGGATCGGACTCCTTGCAGGACCTAGGAGGCAAGGTCCTGAACCTTCCGAAGCCCCCTCAACCCCATTGGCCCGAATGCAACCCTCGCGCAAACAAACGCATATAAATCCCACGAAACTGAAGGCAACGACTCCCTTGCTGAAACACCTTGAAAGTCCCCATGCCCAAAACCCTAGCCCTAAACCTATTCTTGATTCAAGAGATCTTGCACAACTTAGGTTTCCTAAACTTTATTATTTCCTGGGATCTAGGAATCTAGGCTACTCTGGGTGGTGCAAGACTTCTTCCTACAACATCGATACTGGCTTTGGGAAGGAAGGTTGTTGACCGGCTCTGGGTTCCCAGCACGTCTTCGGAAAAGCCAATCCTGACAGCAAAGCCCGGATGAGTTCATGCTGCTGCTATATAGTACAGACCTGGGTCCCGTATTTCTATGCGGGTACTTATATTTGCCAGCCCTCGCCCAAGTTGTTTGATAGTACCACAGCCACTGACATATATAGAATTCAATTCTACAACTCCATCGTCGATCACCGCTGCTACCCAACTGACATACCTGTTTTGAACTAACAGACGACATACTTTTTTGAACTAACGGACCACTCCAACCAAGGCATTACTATCATCCCGGAAATGTCAAGGCTTGCCCCATCTTGTAGTAGGATTAGACTTACATCGAGGGTCCTGCTCACGATGCAAACATAATCCATAGGCTTGTGCAAGCGCTGGGTATGCTCTATTTGTTGCGGTCTGGCGTTGAAGTACAAGGATTGCCTTATCATCTTGTTTTCTAAATGTAATGAGCAAGTTTTCCAGAAACGCGCTCTCAAGTAGACACTGCTAACATGCGGAGTGTAGTATCAAGCTCGTGCGTGTCAGAGTCTGTGTGTGTTGTGTGTTTTCCTTTTTTTCGTTCCGTGCTTTGAAGCGCGTTCTACCCTTTTCACCGGCATCTGAATCTGTTCACACACAGCTGTTGTTCGCATTGCCTTCACTGTATACTGAGCCATCTTCTGCATTGCACTTTGCTTACTTCTCTGACACCATGACAGGAAAGTTGCGTTTTTGCCCACGTTTCTTTGTGCACTTCTATTTTCTCAGGTCATGCAGGCAGCCACGACACGTCAATGTATACATGCTCCATGTCAAGCCCGTTGCCTTTTTTCTAAAGATTAGTTCGCCCAAACGGTCTTAACTGGCTGCATTGCTTTCGGCTGACATGTCCTATAACGATAAGAAGCGTAACAAGCACTGTTACATCACGGTTGATGGCCACATTACTTCCTCATGCCAGTTTCCATGCCAGATGAAACACATGCTAAGCCTTTGGAAAAGGCGTGTCTAGCGTTTGCATCAAAGATTCAACCCTCACTATAACACACAACCTCTTTGAAAAGTTGACACATCTGGGCATACAATGATCACTAGTAAGTAGCTTTGCAGCTGTCATTTTTCAAAAAATTCTTACCCCCTCATCATTCTCACTTTCTCAAAGTGTGCAATAGTTTTGCTGGCCAGCAGACTGTACTTATAGTCATAGTCAGAAGCCATACTGCATGAAGGAAACCTGCCTAAAATCACGCTAGGCTTCCACTCATACACCCCTAGAATCTCAATAAAATAAATAATTGGCAGGCGCTCGCAAAGTTCCCTGGACGTACAGGTCCAGTTGAAACTTGAGGATATCAGAGCCAAATGCTACACAACACGTCCAACTATTTGAGTACTTGGACCCTTAGCGTTCCCGAAGCCCTGGACCTCATTAACTCTGAACCC